ACCATTAGATTAGCTCACTAATCAGGTCTTGTAATCTGGTTTTTTTTTGGCTTTGATGCATATATTGTAATCCAAGTGTAGTAGCTTAGAGTGCATTTTGTAATTCCTTTGGAGGTAAGGCACATTCATCCCCCTCCTTGCATTGTATTCGTTTTTCATTTAATAAATTCATATCCTACGGCTTGGATTTTCAAGCTAGGATATTTGCCAAAAAAAGAAAATATCTGAAATTGGTGGTTTACTGATTAATTTTGAAATTAATTCCTGAAGTGTAAACCATGTCTATTAACCAAATAACATACATTTAGTGCCTGTTTGGCAGGCCTTTTTATAAGCCAAGAGTTGGTTATGAAACTAAGAAACTGTTTTGAACATGTTTAGATAATTTTCTAGAAATATTTTGTCTAATTATAATAGCTATTTAGAGAAACTAACCTAAAAGCTCGTTTAATATGTTTTTTGAAAAGTCAAGGATTGCTTTTAAACATGTTTGTGAAATCTTCTGAAAATGTTTTGTCTGGAAGAGATGTTAGATGAGCTGGCTTCAAAATGTTTAGAAACAAATACAAAAGTTTTGTCAAATGGGCTCTAAAATAACTTTTTCAAAAGTTTTTTTTTATAAGAAATAGAAGCCTTGTCAAACATGTGCTTAACCATTGCCTTGAAAGATCATAAAAAAAGGAAGCATTTACTAAGAATACTTGACCCATTCATAAACCAAAGGATATCTAACCATCGACTTGCAAGGAATTATGCTTCAATTCTCACGTGACACAAAAATACGGACTAGGTTCAAGATAGGAGGGAAAAAAAAATTGTGGTACTCAATATATATTCGTATATTCTGAGAGTACGTTTCTACTTTTCCAAAATTGTAGTAAGATATGGAGCATCAAGTTTAATTTCTTGATTCGTGTTTGACGTGCATTTCTTTGTATCAACTTGTTACAAAATAATAATTAAGATGTGACTTGGTTTATAATTTAAAGAACAAATTTTGTAATTTGGCACCAACGTGATGCAATGTGTTTTCTATCAAACGGTAGTTCATAGTTGATAGAAAATCTCATTACGATTGATGAAAAATTCTATTTGTCCATGTCGACTTTCAACTTATGTTGGCTGACTGGAGGTCTACGCACATAGTTTTGAAAGAAGTTGCCCTGTTTACTTGACCGACGAAAATTGTAATTGAATATTTTTTGTTGCTTAAATATACTTTTTCTATATTTATTTTGAGTATATGAACCAGGTCTTGAATGCAGGTAAAATTATAAAAAAATGAGTATAACATCTGCATTCACCTTTTTGCCCACCAATTTTTCAGCTCTCTTTTGATGGAGAATTCATTCCAAAGTTGTGATTCCTTCATTTATCTCGTAGTTGTGGCTAGGTTCGGGGGTCTCGTACTTTCATCTTCAAGTTTTTTCTCCATAAATAGTGACCAAAACTCAGTTCTTGCAACATATTTACTAAGTTCAAGCTATATATATACACACACTTATGATGTGAGATTATATACTTCAAGAAGTGGCATCAAATTTCACCTCGATTTCCTTTCAATCACTTCATTTCTTAGTGTTCTTTTCAAAGAACAATACCTAGTACTGAAGTGTTTAGGGGAACTCGTGATGTTACTTGATATGAATTCGAGAAAAAATTGGTACTCATGATAAAGTTATTGTATTTTTTGGTAGTGCAATTGCGGCAAAATTTTCGAGTGATTATTAATTCGAGGTAATTAATTTCCCCTCTGCATACATTGACCAAGGTTGACATTTATGGTTTCTTAGTCTTGATTGCTTAATATGGTAAACGAGTGTTCGGTGCAAAATACTAGGTAGGAGTGAAGTAAATAGCAGGTCGAAGAAATATAGAAATTAATTTAATAGTAAGAATTAGATTAGAGTAATAAACAAAGAAACTTGTTAAATTGTTATTAATCATACAAGGACTGGTTTGTATCTCACAAACCTAGTATAAAACTATATTCGTTAAACATGATTTTCATATTTAACTACTTCTAATTTTTCGATAAACCGAACGATAATGGTGGCTGCCATTGATTTTAATTGCATCCTTGTTTCCTTGTATGTACATTTTGGAGTTAAGGAAAATGCATATCAAGTTAAAGATAGAGTTCACGAAGATGAGCACATGTCAATGATGAAGCTAAGCTCACAACGATGAGCCCATTTCAAGAAGATGAGGCCTAGCCACCTAGCAAACAAAATGAGGTTGATTTTGAGGATGAGAAGGAAGCCTAAGCCATGATAATGAGGCGACACCTTGTAGAAAAGAACATTCTAATGGTGAACGAGTTAATGCTAAAAAATTGAGACTTGACCATAGTTGGGACTTGACTTTAGGTCGACTCTAATCACCTACCAAGTGTGGTTGAGTACTTCACTTACCCTACTTATTATAAAATGGGTCTACCTAGTTTGACAAGGTCCTAAAAATTTAAGCATTGGACATTCACTTTTTTTTTTGATGCCCAGGCATCCCACTTCAAGTTTCAAAGGATAAGTGCACCAGTAGAGAAACATGTCCTCTTTATATCTCTATATTTACTCCCAAGCCATCTCTTCGAAGTTTTAATATTGAGACATAAACGCTCACATTAGTAATGTGCTTCAACACCTTAGCAACTTAATTGTATGCCAAAGTAAACATTGGTCAAACTTATGAATGGAAAAAAACCTCGATTGGGCCCTTCCTCGAACCAACCCGAAATTTGGGGGTGCATTCAATTGATACTTTTAAAAACTTTTTGAAATTTAAAAAGTTTAGAGATATTAATATAGATTTCTTGAGATTCCCTAAAAATATTGGTGTATTCGATCAAAATTTTTAAAAAGTCACAATGTATTCAATTAAAACTTTTTAAAAATTTCTATAAGTGTCGGTGTATTTAAATTGCTAACGACCTTTAATATTTTTTTTTTATTTTTTATATAAAAGTCTCCAAGGTTAGTACTTTTAAGCAAAAAATATCTCAAAATTTTTCTCTCATGTACCCCAAGATTTCGAAAGACTTTCACCAAAAAATAAAATAAAATAAATATATATTTTCTGTTTCTTTCAATATTTCTTTATTTTTCCCTTCAAAGAATATTAGAATCATGAATAAAAATTATTTTTTTTTCTATTTTTCCTTTTTTTTCTCCCTGCCTCTTTTATTTTTTTATCTCTATTTCTATGGAAAAATTAAATCATAACTAAAGAATCTTATTATTTTTTTTATCATATATTTATGAAAAAATCTATTCGTAATTAGAAATTATAAGATTTTATATTAAAAAAAATACTAATCTATAATTACAAATTTAAATATATTAATTTTTTATTTACTCTTAAAGTTACGTCATAATTATAATACTAAATATTAAATTAATTTTATTTTTTATGACAGAATAATGTAACATATATTATTTTTTATTACATTTAATTTCTATTAAAATTACTTTTTATTATATAGGGATGGGAAATGAAATTGTGGGAACTATCACCTCGTATATAAGAAATTTATATTGTTGCTTTAGATCCA